ACAGCAGCCAGCAGACACAGCCTGAACCCAGCACTGGCGAGAACTCCCCCTTCCTCAGCGCGTCTCCAACAGCGAGGATGCCCCCTGTTAATCAGGAAAATGCCACAAGTGACCCAGTTTCGGGTCTTAACCTTTTCCAAGCGCATTTGCTTAAGCCAGTGGCATGACCGAGGTGGCCACCCAGCAAAACAGCCAGCGGCCCTCAGGGAAATACTGGCAGCCCTCAGGGAAACACCGGTGCCCACATCCCTCCCACACCTGCCCATCAGGATCTCGGGGCGGGGAAGACAGGTGTACCGGAGTCAGACCACATCCACTTCAACTTCCCTGTGCGCAGCAGTTCCTTGGCCAAGAAAGAGGGAAAAACAAAGCGCCCAGGAGGCAGGCCAGCGGCTCCCCCTGCTCTCCGGGTGCTCTGACTCCACGCAGACGCCTGGATGAGCCTGGGCGTCTCGGAGGAGGACGTATGTGCACCTGCGGGGCTCCTGTGACCATTCTTTGTTCCCTGATCACACGACCCTGGGAGGGAGGCAGTGCCGGCTCTCATCTGTCCGGGAAAGAAGCTTGGCTGCGGACAGATCAGTGATCAGGGTTCCTGTCCCCCAAGGCTTCTAAATGATGACAAGATATGTGGGGCCCGAGAAAACAGCCGTCTCCACTCTGTGAAGCGGGGCTCTGCTCTCGGCAAGGACGAGAAAGACAAACACACCCAGCAGAGTCACTAGCGGGAGGGAATGTGTCAACCACAGTTCCCACTTTGGAACTGCCCTGGTGATCCAGTGGTGAGGAATCCACCTGCCAACGCAGGGGACGCGGGTTCGATCCCTGGTCTGGGAAGATCCCCCAGGCCTCGGAACAACCAAGCCCATGTGTGACCACTACTGAGCCCGTGCTCAGAAACAACAAAAGCCACTGCAATGAGAAGCCCACGCACTGAAAATAAAGTTGACTCCCCTGCCCCCAACCCTGGCTCGCCGCAACTCTTGAGACAAACCTGTGCAACAATGAAGACCTAGCATAGCCCCCTCCCCTCAAAAGAAAACGAAAAACCAAAAAGACCAAACCAACCAATCAGAGAAACTGCCCACGTGGTTCACAATGTGTTGTTTCACCTTGAGGTGCAGACATGCCTTTCTGCAGAACCTCCCAGAACAACTTAAGCTGCACTGCCCGCTCTCACCATCAGGACCCTAAGCTCTTCTCAGTCTTTATCAGAAAAGCCACCTTTCCTTAAGGTGCCTGGGGTGGTTAGGTACTTAAGGGTTAAAGAAGCGCCTCCTCCAACCTCCAACATTGGATTATTTGTGTGTTGGCGGCTCAGTCAATGAACTCACTGCAGAGTGCCTTTATAAACTAATCACTTAAAAAGAGTATGTGATCTATTGTGGACTTCTACATGGAATCTGGGTCTCCTGCACCGCGGGCGGTCTCTACCTGACTGAGGCACCAGGGAAGCCCCAGGCATAAAACACTAGAAAACTGCTCTTCTCAGACATACAAGTCAGATTAGTGATTGCCTAGGGATGGAGATGGACAAGAATGGGGAGATTAGACAGAGAAGGAGACGGGCTTCCCAGGTGGGGCAGTGGTAAAGAATCCACCTGCCAATGCAGGAGATGCAGGACACGGGTTCAGTCTGGGACGGGAAGATCCCCTGGAGAAAGGAAAGGCAACCCACTGCAGTATGCTCGCCTACAGAATCCCATGGACAGAGGAGCCGGGCGGGCTACAGTCCATGGGGTCGCAAAGAGTCAGATGTGACTGAGTGACCAAGCAGAGAAGGATACACGTTACTGATTTAAGAACTCAATTTTATTTTTTTTTCATTTATTTTTATTAGATGGAGGCTAATTACTTTACAATATTGCAGTGGTAATCAGCCATGGAGTTACATGTATTCCCCATCTTGATCCCCCCCCTCCCACCTCCCTCTCCATCCCATCCCTCTGGGTCTTCCCAGTGCACCAGCCCTGAGNTCTCTGTGACCCCATGGACTGTGTAGCCCACTAGGCTCCTCTGTTCATGGGATTCTCCAGGCAAGAATACTGGAGTGGGTTGCCATTTCTTTCTCCATGTTACTTCCAAACTAGATAATCATTCTGCACACCTGTCACTTAAAGGGAACCCGGGTATGCAGAATGAAAAAGTTAGCATCTACACTGGGGGCTCCCCTCCACCCTTCCAAGTCCAAATCTGACCGTGTTCCCACAAGTCTGTTAGATACCCGCTTGTCCCCACCAGTAAGCAGGCCCCCAGGCCTCCTCTCTCTCCTTCCACCACCTGTTCTCACGGCTTGTGCTCCGAACAGAACTCGGATCATCTTGTTTTCAGACCCTTACATATGTTCCTCAAATTCACAGCAAGCTTCTGAACACATGGAAAGATGTCCCACCTCACTCCCGTGGACAGAAATGCCTATTTCCAACAATAAAAGCATCTGTCACCTGTCCCATCCACAAAGGCAGCAAAAACAAACTTCAGGAGGCACGTACTTTCTGACTCAAAACCTCCCAGGCAAGGAAGGGACCACGATGACTTACACACACGAGGACGTGGGTGTAAAGGAGTCACAGAACAACACTGTCTGCTACACGAACACACCGGAAGCACCATAAACATCCACGCAGAGAGGATCTGTTAATGCACACGGTGGACCATCCAGACCTCGGAGCATCACGGGGTCGTCAAGACAAGTCATGAGTCAGACCTCAGGGCGCTCAACCTGGAACAAACCCCACTTTCACGTGTACACACATAAGCACCTACCTGTTTCTAAAAGAAAGTCTAAGCGCGTAGTACTGACACAGCCGCTCTCCAGAGAGGCAAGATGAAGGGATGGAGGGGGGTGGGAGAAAGGCTGATGGATTCCACGCAACTCCCTTTTGAAAGTGAATATTGGGACTTGCCTGGTGGTCCAGCGGCTAAGAATCTGTGCTCTGCATGCAGGGCCGCGGGGTTCCATCCCCAGTCAGGGAACTAGATCCCAGGTGCCACAACTAAGACCCGGCACACCCAGATAAATAAAAATAAATACTTAAGGACAAGAAAACCGAAATGTTTTCCCATGTCCACATGTCACTCTCTGTACTGATAAATGCAGAATGAAAAAAAAATCACACTTGACAACAACAACAACAACAAATCACACTTGCAGAAAACTGTAGCTAGCTGGTATTCCAGCAGCCACCCCTGAGGAGTGGTTGTTCTGACCACTGCACAGTGAGCAAACCCTTTGGGGGCACTGCGGAGAACCCTTTGGGGTCACTGCAACTGACCGCTCCTGGGGGACCAAACCTGCAGCTGACTCCTGGGAACACACCACACTGAACCCCAAAAGCTTCTCCTCTTTAAAAGTGCAGAGGTCGATGAGGTGACCCCAAAGAAACGATACAGCACGACAGCATCTCTCATGTCCCCTCCACCCACTAAGGGCTCGGAAACGGCCACGCCGGGACTCTAGTTTTCTGATTCACGAGGACTCCATGGAGCAATGAGGCTGCTCCATTAATGTGGCAACCAACAAAACTTTTTCCTTCTTCCCTTTCTGAACCTCCTCCTTGGATGCTATTTTGATTCAAAAAAAAAAAAAAACCTTTGGGATATGTCTTCAAGTCTGTACTAAAAACTGAAGTGCATGGGGAGGTCAATTTACTTTTTAAAATTTTCAATCTTGGAAAAGACTGGACTGATTCTGCCAAAAAAAAAAAAGGCAGGTCAACACTGTACTGTGAATGAGCCAACTGTGAAATACCAAGTCGAGGATTATTTCTCTATATAAAAGCAGTTGCAGGAACTTCTTGGCCGTGCAGTGGTTAAGACTCTGGCACCATCACTCCGGGGCCCTGACTTTGATCTCTGGTCAGGGAACTAAGATCTTGCAAGAATTCCATGGAATACTCCAGGCAAGAATACTGGAGTGGGGAGCCTTTCCCTTCTCCAGGGGATCTTCCCAACCCAGGGATCGAACCCAGGTCTCCTGCATTGCAGGTGGATTCTTTACCAGCTAAACCACCAGGGAAGCCCACGAATACTGGGGTGGGTAGCCTATATCCCTTCTCCAGGAGATCTTCCCGACCCAGGAATCGAACCGTGGTCTGCTGCACTGCAGGCAGATTCTTTACCAGCTGAGCCACCAGGGGAAGCCAGCAAGCTGTGTAGCCAGAGTGGCCCAAAACAATCACCAACACCCCCGTGCTGCCCAGCTGTAGTGTTCTAGTTCCAGCATGTAAAAGCATCAGGTCCCCAATTTCGCTCTCTGACCCCCTCAAATTATCCCAACTCCTAGTCACAATTTGCTTTCTAAGCTTGCCCGCCCCAGAGCTCAGCACAGTGCTAGAAACACCTGGATGTCCGCGTGCATCACTCCATATTAGCATGAGACCCGAAAATCCGGTAGCCTGCCACCTAGTGTTAAAAATGGGCCATGACACTTTGCTTCATTCAGAGCATCAGCTATGGCCAGGGATAAGATTTAAGGAATCAAAACCACTTCATAAATCGGAAATTAACACTCAGCAGTAAGGAAAAGAAGGAATCTTGTAACAATTGACCGTTACCAGGAACTCTATTCAATCCTCTGTGACAAGCACAGGAAAAGAATCTAAAAAAGAGTAGATATATATATATGTATAACTGATTCAATTTGCTGTCTTTTCCAAAGAGTCAGCCGTTTGCATCAGGTAGCCAGAGTATCGGAGCTTTAGCTAAGTTAACTATACTCCAACATAAAACTAAGTAAAAAAAAAAAAGAAAAAAAGGAAATTTTTAAAATTTGTGATGTTGGATTCATCCTTGGCCAAGAGATGAATCACTCGTGTATTTCCTAAGTGTACATGCTCACACATGTATGCACAGACAGACACACACAGACACATGTCCACATCGGGACTGCCAGAGTTGGCACAGGGCAGCCAACAGACTCCACGCTTTGCTGGAGTCTGCTCATCTGCTCATCTCTGCTCATCTCTGTCCGTAAACAAGGCTTGACGCCCAGGTCTTACCTTTTCACCACCAGCTTCAGAGTCTTATGCGACCCCTTCACCAGGCAGATGGCCTCCTGCCTAAACCCAGACAGGCCGATGTCGTTGATACCCACGATCTCGTCTCCGGCCAGCAGTTTGTCCACGGCCGCAGCTTTGCTCCCTTCTTCGACCTGCAATGCAGAAAGAGGGTCCATGAGCTGTCCCCCCGCCCCCAAATGAGCAAACCAGTCCTCAGGTGGACAGGAAGACGTGTCGGTGACAGCTCTGTGCCATCCACCAGTTCTCGGACTGGCTTCAGGATGACCCAGGAATGAAGGGGTCCAGCTTGGGCCCTGGTTCCCGGTGAGAGACCAGGGATGCACCCCTCGCCTGGTCTGTACCCCTGATCTGGTCTGCATCTGCAAGACCTACCGTTTACGGAGGGGGCACCAGAGTACACGAACACTCAAAAACACACCAGAAACGGGATCCAGATGGGCCCCAGTGCTTTCTGGATCTCCTTCCTCCAAAAAAAACCAAAAAAGATGGGTGTTTTAAAATTATTGACGAAGTATGTCTCACTCATCAACCCTGCACCTAGAGCTTCCCTGGGGGTCCTGCGGTTAAGAATCCACCTTCCAATGCAGGAGACACGGGTTAGATCCCTGGTCAGGGAAGAGTCCACGTGACACAGCGCAAGGAAACTCGTGCACGACAACTGCTGAGCCTGCGCTCCAGAGCCCGGGGGCCCACAACTACTGAGCCCGTGCTCCACAACAAGAGAAGCCATCGCAATGAAAAGCCCCCGTGCTGGGCACGGACAGGGGCCCTTGCTCGCCACACCTGGAGGAGAAAGCCCACGTGCACCAACAAAGACCCACCAGAGTCAAAAAAGTAAATTTTTTTTTTAAAGTCCTGCACCTAGGACTTTTTCTGTAACAGCTTTCTTTCAATGTTTTCTTTAATTTTTTTATTTCTGTAACAGCTTTATTTAGCTGTAAGTCAAACACACGCCAATCCGCCCACGTACACATGAATGAAAGGACTGTTAGTTGTATTCAGAGTCGTCCAACCATCACCACCCACCCAGTTGAGAACAGGCTTCCTAAGCCCAGAAGAAAGCTCGTGCCTGTCAGCAGTCACTCTCCGGTCGTCCCGGGCTCCAGAAACCATGTATCTGTCTTGGATGTACCTACTGCAGACACTTGATATATACAGAGTCATACAACAGGTGGCCTTTTGTGTCTGGCTTCTTTTCACTCGTGATGTTTTTTCCAGGTGCATCCGTGTTGCACCGTGTCGGAACTTCGTTCCATTTTATGGCTGACTGATACTCCATCGTATCCATTGACCACATTCAATTTATCTGTTCATCAGGGATGGATATATTTACTTTGTTTCTACTACTTGGTTATTCACTCAGTTAGTTCAGTAGCGCAGTCGTGNTGCCATCTTCCGTCTCCATTGTGGCATGGGGTCTCAGCTGTGGCAAGACCACAGGCCTCAGCTGTTCCTGAGCATGGGATTGAACCCGTGTGTAAAACACTCCCTACTCGGAGTTACACACAGTATGTACACAAGGGGACTGACCGACTCCTTAAAAGGATTTTACGGCTTTTATCCTCAGAATTTTCAATCTGTAAATCCTTAACCCAGCTTTTCTTATGTAGTAATAATCCAACTAAGCGTCAAGTAAGCCATCAATCAACCAACCTTCTTTCTCTACCAGTGGCCTGCAAACTGTGTGCTCTGATCACTCCCTCAGGCATCTCTGGCTCTTTGCTACCCCATGGACTGCAGCCTGCCAGGCTCCCCTGTCCCTGGGATTCTCCAGGCCGAATCCTAGCGTGGCCTGCCATGCCTCCCTGCAGGGGATCCTCCCAACCCAGGAATCGAACCGGGGTCTCCTGCACTGCAGGCAGATTCTTTACCAGCTGAGCTACCAGGGAAGCCCTATGACTCACGAATCAAATCCAGCCAGCTAGGACTTCCCTGGTGGTGCAATGGTTAAGACTCTGTGCTCCCAATGCAGGAGGCCCGGGTCCCATCCCTGGCCAGGGAAGATCCCACATGCTAGGTGGCGTGCCCTCCCCTCCCCCTCTGCAAAAAATCCAGCCAGCTGTCTTTTTTTGTTGTTTGAGGTAAATAAAATTTTACTGGAATACAACCACACCCATTTGTTTACATACTGCTACAGGAGAGAATGGAATAGTTTGGGGCCCACAGAGCCAAAAATATTTACTACTTGGCTTGTTACTAAAAAAAAAAAAGCTGCCAACCCCTGTTCTATACCAAAAAGCCATCCTTTTTACAAACTGCTAGGGAAACTAGTGAAAAAGATGACTGTTTATGTGCATATCAGGGTACAGTTTTGGAAGTTCGCTGTGCTCCCACTATATGCCAGGACTGACCTGAAAATCAGTTCCAAACCTCACCAGGCACTAAAGCAAGGAAACGTTCCTCCTCTGGGAGTTAGAGAGCTGGAAATAAAGCCTCAAGGATGAAATCACACAGTACTTGGACCCGTCTCTCCGCCTGGACCCGTGGACAGCTCAACCCCTCCTTAGGGTAACAGAGCCAATTATTTATTGCAAGTTGACACCACAAACAAAATGACCACTCCGAACAGAACTATGAAGCAATTCGTTCGGCTAACAACCGGTCTCCAAGTCTAGACGATTTTTAATCCCAACGTAATGACAGATCCCAACGTTAATAAGCTTCCACCCGGCCAAGATTACACACTCAGCCAGCAACAGCCAAGGTGAAGGTTACGTGGTGGAGAGTTTAGGTTTTGACATGCCCCAGCTGGGGGTGCCCAAGGGCTGTGTCCAATCGGAGGGTTGGTGGGCAGTTAGCTGGGGTGGGCAGGAGGCAGGAGTCCCTGGGGAAAAAAGATGGAGTGAACAGCAGGGGAAAGAACTTAAAAGACTGGAGAGGCGGGGATGGAGTCTGCCCACACAGAAAACAGACCCATGAACAGAGGAGGACAGAACCCTTGGGCTGCCTGGCAGAAGAGGATGAAGGAGCAGGAGACGGAGGACAAAGAAGGGGTGGGTGTCCCCAAAGAGACAACAAGCAGACACGCACAGAGCTGGTGAATCTGAGCATCCCGAGAAAGCCTTTAGGCGAAACCATGATGATGGAGGAACCTGCAGGGTCTTAGGACAGATTCTGAAGGTAGCCCTTCCTACAGGCAACTCATCACCTAGAACGACTCGGCCACAACCTGGTGAGTTTTTCCGTCTCATCCCCGCAAACCCTTGCACGCGAGACTCTCTCAAAGCGCTGTCATCAACATCTGGCTAAGGGACTCGCCTGGAGGTCCAGTGGCTGAGACTCTGAGCTCCCAAATGCAGGGTGCCCAGGGTTCGATCCCTTGTCAGGGAACTAGATCCCACGTGCCACAACTAAAGATTCTGAACGCTGCAATGAAGACGGAAGACCTTCAACGAAGACCTAGTTCGGCCAAATAAATAAAAAATTTTTCGAACAAAGGTCTGGCTTCACCCCAAAGCCCAAATCACATCATGTTGCTTCCCTTCACCTGCAAAGACTTCCTAGCTCCCGCTCCAGCCGCAAAGACGGCATTCCACGGCAGCCCGTCTGCCTCACCCAAACCACACTCCACCTACACTCCCAGCAAAAAAACGGCTCCAGGTTTGGGAGACAGAGTAGCTGGGAATCTCTGCCCACCTCGGCTTCCTCCCCAAGACAAAGTGTTTGTCCGACATTTTTCGCGATCATGGCGAAGAGAGTTGCAAACGAGGCAGCTTTGAAGACCTCGGGTCTGTACTCTTGACCCCATCAAGCTTCCCCCGTGAGGAAGACTTCATGAGGCTTGAACCTGGTGAAGTGCAGGCCTGAAGCTGGCCCTAGGGTTCCAGGAATACGGCTCTGCCCATCAGCTGTGTATAGTCTATCATGCGTTACCCGTGATGAGTCATGCCTCGAACGCATCATGCATTGCATACACGCATGCTCCTTTTATCGCCATCCTCTGTTTAACAGTGAAGAGAGCTCTGGGCATGGCCAGTCGCAGAGGGCACCATCTGCAGAAGCCACAAACGGGGCAGTCCTGATCTACAACCACTGAACAAAGTTCTCAGTGTCCTTTGCTCAGGGGAAAAAAAAAAACAAGTCCCTTTACAAAAGGGCAGGCAGGCAAGGACAAAGGAATCCACACCCACCCACGATGCTTGTCCATGTACCCCGGTCGGAAGGAAAGCCCCAGGCACACTCGCCAGGCCGAATATTCCGGTTTGGATTATTCACTGGAATTCTGTTTGCCAAACTCCTGTTGAGTTTTTAGGGCTTCAAAATGTTCAAAAATGAGCAGACTGCCTTGCTGTCCTGACGGAAACGTTTACTCTGGAAACAGCAAGACGGAGGGAAGGGGGGGAAGAAAAAAACAGTCCATGGAAGTCTTTTTGGAAGCAAGCTTTCGTATTTCAACCAACGGATGTTGTTACAGATGATCAAAGATGACACCCACCAAGGGCGGGGGGGGACCCTGATTCTCGTGGGAGCCCGAACTCACTCAGGAAGGAACTGAGTCAGGGCAGTGGGGGTGAGAGGGGCAGGGCTCGGGGCTGGAGATGAAAGACCTTCAGCCCCGGAGAGCAACTTGAAAGGGCCAGCAGACATGGGGGTGGACATTCCACGGGAGGGGGGTGAGGACCCAGGACCATCTGAAGAATGTCAGCCTGGCGGGCGAGCTCGGTGCCCTGGCAAGGGGAGCCTTTGAAGATAAGGCTGGAAAGAGGAAGATGAGGAATTTGACCTTGAGTTTCCGAAGCCGGAAGGATACCCTGGAGGCAGCGGTGGGGCGGGGTGGGGGTGGGGTCCCAGAAGGCCCCCCCCCGCACAGAAGCAAGGAGGTGACCCTATGTCATAGGAGTAAATGCATCTAGCAGCTTCATCCTCTTGGTAGACAGGAAAAAGCATCTCTCCCGCCCAGAACACATCACAGATCAGCAGCCGCACGTGCTCAAACCAAGACAGGGCAGGAAACACAAACGTCAGCAAGGGCTCTGGCAGCTGGGAAGGCAGGTCGAGGGACATACTCATTGACGGACATCAAGGGCCACTGCAGGAAAGAGGTGTGCAGTAGAACTCAGATATGGAGCTTTGACGGTCGGGGAAAATCGCAACCACCGGAGATCAGAACGGAAGGGGAAGGAATGTTTAG